GGATCTATTCTCCTCCACACAGGCTGCATCAGTCCTAGAACTTTATAAAGAAAGTTCCCACTAGTCTGTTCCTCTGCCACCACATGGAGTTGCTTTTATTAGGCCAAACAACTTTGTCCATGAGGGGTGCAATCTGTCTGCAAGATGTGCTGGACTGTAGATTGTGTGGTATGCTCACTCAGAAGGATTATATTTTCTCATGGTGGTATCAAGTAACAGCAGTCCTGGTCACAGGTAGGTGGGAATCACAGGTTCCCTGTCTGTGAGTTTTGGTGGGTTCAGGACAACCCAGTTGCTTTCAGAAATTCTGCAGTTCTCTGTGTTCAGTTTACTCTTCAGAGAAAGAAATAAAAAAAAGAAGAAACTACTCTCTGACAAACTGGTATGGCAGCTGGCAACTGTGGCACCTGGGCTTCTTGAGCTGTTTTATGCTATAAAAAGCTAATTTAAAGGTTAGTCATTGTATGTTAGTTTGCCTATGTATTGGCAATATCTTAATTGGCAGAGAATCCAAGTTCCCTGACTCTTGCTACCACGAATCTGAAGTTTTCTTTTGGACTTGTAAGAGCTCAGAGTTCTGGGGTCTAATAGCTGTCTGTCATTTTGTTCTCCTAAATATATCCCTTTTTAATTAATAGTTTGTGCTCTGTGGCAAATTTTTTCATCCTTGCAATCTCACTCCAAACAAACCATAAAATATCATGTTTTAAAAGGTTCACTTGCAGACTGTGACATCAACTCTTGGCTGAGTCTCCAACTGTTGACCTCTCCTACAGGATTCACACTTGCCAACCTCCATAACTATGTGACACAGACAATTCTTTAAAAATAAATTTCTTTATATATAATATAAATGTAATTATGAGGGTTTTTTTTCTTTTCAACTTTGTTACCACTTACATGCACATTTACAATTGTTATGCTCAATAAATGAATGTTTCTATCATTAAGAATATCCTTATTTATCATTTATAATGTCCCTTTTTCTGAATTCTACTTTATTTGGTATCAACATGGCCACTTCCACCTTCTTATAGTTAGTTTGTATAGTATATCTATTTATATTCCTTTTTAAAATCATATTATGTCTCTTTATATTTTACATGTAATTCTTTTTAGACATTACAGAGTTGGATCTTTTTGGTTTTGTTTGTTTGTTATGTTTTGAGAGAGGGTTTTGCTATGAATCTTCAGGTGGCTTAGAAATCACTTTGTTGCCTAGACTGGCCAAAACTCACAATTCTCCTGTCTCTGCTTCACAAGGTATGTGACACCACATCTGGCTTAACTTTCTTTTTGTTTTAATATTAACATTTAATAATTGTACATATTAGTGGGGTATGCTATGTTATTTTAATACATTCAAATAACATGTATTATCCAATCAGGGTAATTAGCATTTCCTCTCTTTTTAATTTCTTTATGCTTGAAATCTTTGAGCTTCTCTCTTCTAGATCTTCATAAAATATGTAATAGGTGTTGTGAACTGCAGTCACCTAGCTGTGTGTAGAACACCAGATCTTATTACTTCTGTCTGTGTCATGGTAACCCTTATCTAACTTCCTTTTTGTCTCTTCCTCACACCTTCCTAGCCTCTAGTAATCAGTATTCCACATTCAGATTGATTCTTTTAGCCTCCACATATGGGAATGAAAGTGCTCCTGTACACAACGAAAAGATTCAATAAAGAGAAGAATCAAAGAAAACATTTTTCAAACTATTCATCTGACAAAGAACTAACAGCCAGAATACATATGGAGCTCAAAAGACTTAACAAAAACCAAATAATCCATTACAGATGGATTTAATAATCTAAATAGACATTTCTCAAAATATGGAAAAAAATACTCAATAGCATTAGCCATTAGGAAGTGCAACTCAAAAATTTGGGTGATATAATATCACCCAAATTGTGTCTTTTAAAAACAACTCTTGATAATCTCTGCCTTTTTAATTGAGGTGTCTTAGATAATAATAGTCAATATTAAAATATTGAGTTGGTTAGGTAAAAAATTTTTGTTGTTTACTTGTTTTAAATTTTTTCCATCTGTTCTTTCTTCTCTTTTTCTGTCTTCTTTTGGAATAATTGAGCATTTAAAAATTCTACCTTACCTTCTTTAGTTATTAGCCATAATGATACTTTGTTTTATTTTTCTAAGGATTCTTATGGTCCACATTTTTAATTGATCATGGCTTACCTTCAGATAGTATTATACAATTTCACACATAGTATAAGATTCTTACAAGAAATACCCTTTCATTTTTGACTCTCCCAGGCTATGTATATTTTGTATATATCTTTGCTTTTTATATATTGATTACAGCCATACTACATTTATAATTTTTGCCAAAATTGCCTATTATCATGTAAAATACCTAAAACATTAGAGATTAATTTTATCTATTTATCCATGTGCCTACCATTTTCCAGTGTCTTCATTTCTTTGTGTAGGTCCACCTTTCTATCTGGTATCATTTTTCTTTATGTCTGATGACTTCCTATAGGATTTCTTATAGTACAAGTCTTCTGCTGATGCCTTCTTTCAGTTTTTATATTTCTATTTCACATTTGATTTAGAATGTGTTTTGCAGTGTATAAAATTCGTAGGTGGAACTTTCATGTTTGTTTGTTAGCATTTCAGTATTTTACAAGATATAGTCCACTGTTTGCTTACATTGTACTGTTTCCAACAGAAATATCTGTATCACTGTTTTCCAGTTCATCTTACATTTTGTCTTTATGGAATCTCTTCCCTCTTAAATCTGGTCTTCTAAGGGTTTTCTGTTAATATACTGGCCTTGAAGTAATTTGGTTATGATGTGGTCTTCTTTAGTTTCTTTATGTTACTTTGCCTTATAGGTTTAT